CTCCCTCAACATTTAGTTCATGCCTCTTCCTAATATATACATCACTGTAAGTATAATGCATACTTTTGTCTCCTTTTAAGCCACGAATACATTTAAGGTAACAATCACAACTTTTTCTCCCAAGTGCCTTACACTTCCTCGTGTCTAGCACATAGAGGGGCTTAATAAATGCTTTTCAAGTGAATAAATAATCATATGAATTTAGAAATTCACAAATCTATAGAACCTTAGATCAGTCTGCCTTGACCTTTCATCCCATCTCTCTCTCTTTCTTCTCTCTCTCTCTCTTTCTCTCTTCTTAAGTATGAGAAAGAGATAGGAAGGGAGAGGGAAAGAGAGATTAAAAACACAATGATGAGAGAGAATCATTGATCGGCTACTTCCTGCATGCCCCCTACTGGGGATCGAGCCCACACCTAAGCATGTACCCTGATCAGGAATTAAACTGGTGGCCTCTTGGTTCCTAGGTTGACGCTCAACCTCTGAGCCTTTTTGGCAGGGCCGCACCATATCTCTTGGATGAAGAACTCATTGACCCTCATCTGTCAGTACTGGAACACTCCTCACAATTTCAAGGACCTTCTAAACATAAAACCAGCTGGTCCACGGATCATTTCTTCTTCCAAATGTACCTGTCATTGAGATAAAGAACAAATAAAGCTTTAGCTTGTGTTTAATACTCTTTTTTACAGAAGGCAAATAGGATTGTATATGATTTAAATGAAATAAACTTATGGTAAGGAGAACAAGTGAGTTTATCTGTGACTCTTGGATAGATATGGTTAACACAGTTGCAGGAAGGAAAAAATATAATAACAGTGGCTTATACAAGCTAGACACTTTTTTTCTCTGTCGTCTAAAAGTCCACATGGAGGTTCTGCTCCATGAAAGCCTCACCTCATGGCACTGAGTTCCCTGGCTCCTGGTTCAGGATGGGCTCAGCTATCACTTCGCCTCCATACAGCAGAGGGGGGGAAAGGGGGAGCGAAGGGACAAACAACAAGCACCAACTCTCTCTTAAGCAAAGGTTCCTGGAAGCTGCCACAGGCAGTTCAGCTTACATCCCATTGGCCAAAATGTACTCCTATGACCACACATAATTATAAAAGAAGTTGGGGAAAGTAGTCTTTTTATTTTGAACACCTCTTGTCCAACTTAACACTATTTTACTATGGCACAAAAGGAGTATAGATGTGAGGGATGCAATTAGAAGTCTATCACAAACAGTCTATCCATTGTCCTATGCGCCCCTTGCCTTAAGTGGGGCTCTTAAGAGGCAAAGGGGCGCATGTGACAATGGATAAAACTGAAGTGTTAGCGATTATTCAAGAACTTTTGTATTCTCACTGTTATAGGCTGAGGTGACAATAATGCACTCCAATGGTTCACCCACAGTGTTACAATCAAGCTTGGTACTGCCCTGGTTGTCCATAGCTAGAAAGAGGAAGGAGTGAAGAAGAAAGAAAAAAAGCTTTTGCAATAAGGAAGTTGGGGTAGAGGTGATGCAGTGAGAAAAGGAATAAAAGGAGGGAGGCAGAGTGGAAAGAAATGGTAGAATCAACAGGACAAAATGACTGGATATTGGAAGAAAGGGAGGGGAGGGACCTAGAATGATTCTCAGCTTTGAAAGCAAATTAGACCCTGGTAATTGGACTAAAAAGGGTGGTTTGGAGACTACATTACACTGATGAGGTTAACTACTGCAAATTGACCTGAAATCTCTCCTTTATCTGTTATTTCTTGCCATGAATTTTCTCTTGAATGGACTAATGAAGTTAATAAACTTTTCTAAGTAGTTAATCTTTCACAGGAAAAAATTAACAGGTCTTGGTGATTTAACCAAGCCTGTTATAATGTTCCCTCTTCTAATTCAGAACATTACACAGGACTCCTTAAACTTGAGTTCTTGGGGCATTCTTAATTCAATGTCAGAATTTCTCACTTGACTAAGCTGACTATTTGGAGAATCTATCCCCGCAACTGGAAAGTAGATTTGGTGTTATTGCCCTCCTTACAGTTGTGAAGTTTAAAATACATTGAATGTTTAAAGGACCTGCCTCGTGACTGGTTTGGTAAATGCTAGTTTCTGTTTCCTTCCAAAGTACTTTTTCTAATGCATTCATACAAACATTTATTCAGTGGTTACTATTTCACGCTATGCTAAGTGCTGGGGAGATAAAAACTGAATTTAGTCATTGAAAATGAATTTATAATATTTTTTCTCACTTCTGGATATTCAGGTAAAATGTAATCCTCTGCAGCAGAGTTGCCTGTCCCATGGACTGCAAGTTTTTGAGGGCAGGGAATGGGCAGGTGTTTGTTACTTTGTATTCCCAGGCCTTAGCATATGTATTTACTAAATGTGTGATTGAATATATGACTAAGACTCAAAAAAAAATCTAAACACAAGACTGGAGTTAGAGAACCTAATGTTCAGACATTACTGGAGGCCCTTCCATGAATGCTGAGTATCTATCTGCTGGGCTGCTCACACCATGTGTGGCTCAGGACCCTCTTCTAGAAAGGCTGTAAGAGGAGGTGGAGCTCTTAAGAGGCAAGAGGAGCATATGACAATGGATAAGAGCTTGACATTTATGCATATAATTATAATAAAATTTGATGAATCTTTCCAGAAGGGAACTCCAAGATCCAAGATACAAAAGACTATAGCAGGTGGACCTACCTGGTGTGAGGGCTCAGGAAAGCCCTTGCTGAAAAGTCCTATAAGTTGCTTACTGCACAGCTGAGTTGTTAGCATAGATGGAAAACCAGCCTGTGTTTCACTCCCCAGGCAGTAGGTTCACATTGGCCCGGGATGGTGTCTGCCTCCAGAGGAGTTATTTTCTCCATTTACACAAAGGCCTTGCCATTCTCTGTGTCTTCCTCACTGCTACCCACCAGTCATGCCTCCAAGATTACGGACATCTGAAAGCTGAAAGATAAGCAGATGTTTTCCAGACAAAGTTTAGGTCAGGTGGAAAAATAAAGGGGAGCATCATGTATGAGGTCTGGGGGATATAAAACAAGCCTGGTGGCCTGGCTGGCATGATTCAGTAGTTGAGCCTTGACCTGTGAGCCAGGAAGTCATGGTTCGATTCTGGTCAGGTCACATGCCCAGGTTTCGAGCTAAATTCCCAGCAGGAGGCATGCAGGATGATTCTCTATCATCATTTATTTTTCTATCTTTCTTCCTTCTCCTCTGAAATATTTTTGAAAAAAAAATAAAAGAAGGCTGGTGCATTTGAGGATCTGAAGAAAATTCACAATGGGTGGAGCGTGGAGTTCAAGGGGAAGTTTAGCAAAAGTGAGGCTAGAAAGGTACTAATTACAACTGGCATTTTCTGTGAATTTACTAGCTACACTCTGCTAATGGATCTCCATGCATTATTTTATTGAGATCACAGAGGTTAAGTGACTTGCCCACAGTCATATGTTAGGAAATAGTGGAATTATGATTCAAAACCAGGTTTAACTTCAGAGCCTGTGCTCCAAACCACTTGTTCTGTGGCTTCAAATGATTTGCAACAGTGGATTGCAAAGGGACAAAATTGAAGGAAGGAAGGCCAGGAAGAAATAGTTGCAGAAATCCAGGCAAGAAATGTTGGTGGACTTAACATGACCTTGGAAATGGGACGGTGTAGGAAGATTCCAGAGATATTTAGGAAGTACAATCTACAAAACTTGGTGCTTGTTTGAATATGAAGGGCAATGATGAAAAGAGGGAGGAGATAAGGATGACCCTTATGTTGTGTCTTTGTGGAGGGCATGTCATTTGTTGAGATAGAAAATGGTGGAGGGACAAGTTGGAAGCACCTGTGGAACATTCAAGTGCAGATATCCAATTGATGCTTGGATGCTTGGGCCCGAAACTCAAGGAAGGCTGTGTAGTTAGCTGACATCAACATGTAACCCAAAGAGTGGGTATTAGAGAATGTAGAGTGAGAAGAACAGAGAGTTTCTCCTAGGATAGCCATGCTAAAGCAGATCCAGTTGTTGAGCTTTGTAGAACATAACTGGTCTCTTGATTTATCTGCATCCTTTTCAAGAACGTCTTCAAAGGTTTGTGGAGTGTCATGTTATAAATTGTAACCAGAGATCTGTGATGAGGAAGCACAAAAAAAGGGAGGCTACCAAAATAAAGAAGAAAAAAAACCTGGCCTTCCTGACATTTTTTATTTAAAGTCAGATGTAAACTTAAGTATGACCCTTAAGAACATATGTGCTGAATAAGGTAGTATTATTTTTATTCAAGGAATTGCCAATTGCCTATGCATTAATTACACAGAAGAATAAATGGAATAAAATCCAGCAGCAACATCAATGGAAGCCTTAGCTTATCAATGGCCTCTTTAAAATGTGGCCTTCACCTAGCCTGTGTGGCTCAGTGGTTAAATGTTGACCTATGACCCAGGAGGTCATGGTTTGATTCCCAGGAAGGGCATATGTTGGGTGTACAGGAGGCAGCCAATCAATGATTCTCTCATCACTGATGTTTCTATCTCTCCTTCTCCTTCTCTGAAATCAATAAAATATATTTTTAATGTGCCCCTCACAACTGAACACAGACCTTCTCCTACATTAGCGATTAAACTTCGTTGTATCTAATATAAAGTGTTATAAAAATGAGATTCTGAGCCATGCCTTTCCCTGCTACTCTTCGGCTTCTCTAAATAAATTCTGAGCCACCTCTGTTGCAGTCATCATAACAAGATGGATATTCAGGCTTAGTTGACTTCATTGTGTCTCTCTTTTCTCTTAGAAAGGATCGCAGCAGTCTGTACATGATGTGGCTCCTAAAGATTCAAGGCCCACCCACCTTCCTAGTCTGCAATGGAAACGGCAGAAATGGAAATTCAAACACCACGATTCCCATTCTGTTACTGATCACTCTGTAGGCATGTGCCCCCACCGCAAGGAGTGAACTGCACCAAGGGGGAAAGTTCTTGGGTCCCCCAAACTTCAGCACTTCTTGTCTCTCCCTCTGGAGAGGAAGCACAACTATGGCACTTTATAGCTGCTATTTGATCCTCTTGGCATTTACCTGGCACACTTCTGCCTATGGGCCTGACCAGCGAGCTCAGAAGAAAGGGGACATTATCCTTGGGGGACTCTTTCCTATTCACTTTGGAGTAGCAGCCAAAGATCAAGATCTAAAGTCAAGGCCAGAGTCTGTGGAATGCATCAGGTAAGGGAAGGAGCCACGTCAAAAATCCCTCTTCTGGGTGGTTGGAGAAAAGCTGTACCAAACCAAAAACAATTCTTCAAACTTCATTTCTTCTTTTCAAAAATGGTGATTGGAAATCATGCTGAAACTTAGTATCCTCCCACCCTGACTTTTTTTTTTTTTTTCAATACATTTTATTGATTTTTTACAGAGAGGAAGAGAGAGGGATAGAGTGTTAGAAACATCGATGAGAGAGAATCATCGATCAGCTGCCTCTTGCACTCCCCCTACTGGGGATGTACCCGCAACCATGGCACATGCCCTTGACCAGAATCGAACCCACGACCTCTCGGTCTGCAGGCCGATGCTCTATCCACTGAGCCAAACCGGTTTCAGCCACCCTGACTTTTTAAATAAATTTTTCCAAAAGTGTATCACCTTGCTTAACCTGGACTTCAGAAACCATTACAGCACCCCAAGTCTTGACCCATCTTCTATGAGAGAAAATAGCACCTTCATTTTGAGATTTGCAACTTCCAAAAGTGATTCAGCACTTTTCCTTGGTCTTCCTAGTAACTGAAAAATGAAAATGAAAAGTAGTATTATTCTAAGAAAAAAACTGAAATTTTGTTTATGTGCTAATGAGTGCTCACAAATTAGATAACATTCTCACATTTTTCTTATGAATTCAGAAAAACTAAGTGCAGAATCTTATTGATCCTGCTTATATCCTTCACATAACCTGTGTGGAAAAGAACCCCTTTGCTGCACCCTGCTGGACAGAGTTGTGCATGTGCCACACGTATACCTAATTCAAGCAAGAAGCTTGACATGAAATAATATGTATTATATTAAGAAAGATAGCAAAATTAGCTTAAAAGTACATATGTTTTATATAATCAAAAATTCTATAATATCTCTTCATAACTTTGCCGTTTTAAACAAATAATTAAATAACAGAAACATAAAGAAAATGGATAAGAGAAAACATTAAAAGTTAGATCGGGACCTTTAGTACCCCAAACTAAAGTGGAGATTGTATTTCTCACCTCCTGTCATAGAGTTCAAGTAGGACAGCCCACAATGTAAAGGGAGAACCTGCAGAGTTGTTTTGGGCAGAGATACACGGACTCAACACATTTTTGGAGCCTTGACTCTGAACCAAGTCTTTAGAGGATAAAACTATGTCACTGACCCTATTTCTCTGTGTAAATTTGCTTAATTTTCATTTAAAACTATGTCCTTTGAAAAGCAATCCATGCTCATCTTTTAAAAAGAGGAAGTATAAACCAAAAGCACACAATTTTAAAACTCATATTCTACCACCCAGAAATAGCCAGTGTTTGTGAACAGCCTTCCTATGCATAATATTTGCTTATTTGTTTATTTACAAAGGTGAGGCCACTTCATTTCCTTTTCCCCTTTGACCTCCAGGACTGTCATGGTCTAAATTTGTGACTTTGCAAATCTGAGGTTATTCTTGGGCTCCTACATATTAAAATCCTAACCTATTTTTATTTTCCCTAGTCCTTTTTCCTTTTCAATCTTTATAGTACCGAGGAACCTCAGATTCTTTGCTGGGTGAGTCAGATGCAAATTATTAATTCTGTTACTAAAACAGTCTTCATTCTTACTATTCCCTAACTCTCTGAGGCACCATGCTGGGAGTTGTGCATAATTATCACCTGTTCCCAGCCACCCTATGAGGTCTGTGGTATCCCCATTTACAGAGAGGACCTCGAGTCTCAGAGAACCCAACGTCATGAAACCAAAAAGTAGCAGAACCAACTCCAACTTCCATTGTATTCCATTTCTTCTTTTCTGCAGGTATAATTTTCGAGGGTTTCGCTGGTTACAAGCCATGATATTTGCCATAGAGGAAATAAACAGCAGCCCAGCTCTCCTTCCCAACATGACGCTGGGATACCGGATATTCGACACTTGCAACACCGTTTCTAAAGCCTTGGAGGCCACCCTGAGTTTTGTGGCCCAGAACAAAATCGATTCTTTGAACCTTGATGAGTTCTGCAACTGCTCACAGCACATCCCCTCTACCATTGCTGTGGTGGGGGCAACCGGCTCCGGCATCTCCACAGCCGTGGCAAACCTGCTGGGGCTCTTCTACATTCCCCAGGTACCCGGGCCTTCTGAGATGGGGCAATTCGGGCTGGGCTCAGGAGAACGGCGTGGGGGATTGCCATACTAGGTGTCCAAATAGTTTGCTCTTTTCCTCTCTCTGGCTATCCATGGACACAAAAGTCCTTTTAGTTACTTGGGACATTGGATCATGACCATTGGGGGTTTTTGAGACCCTCAATGTCAACATCAACTAGACCTTCACAAGTCTTCCAAAATTTATTTAAATATGCCTTATGTAGCACCTTGTATATAACTTCTATTTATTTATTTATTTTTATACCTTGCAGATGAGGTATACAAATAAATAAATGAACCACCAATGTGTTCAGTTCTTTATTTTCCACTCCATTCCTTTAGTAAATGACCTTTCTTCTGCCTTTACTAAAAGGAATGAGACCATATGTGTTAATCAAGCCATTCAAAGCCCAAATATGTCCCTAATCCTACTCTACTCCCTTAAATATCTCTTCCTCTCAACGATCTGGTTGGAAATTTAGCTCAGAGAGAAGCAAAGCATATTTCCTCCAAAATAGGAACTTGGTTGCACATCCTAAAAATGGAAAATATCCTATTCCATTCAACATCTACTTATAGAGTCTATATGAAGAAGCATCTCCACCCTGTAGGAAGTCAGCCTAGGTGGGGAGATGTCTGTATTTTCAGTGAATTGCACATTGACTGAAATATGTGCTTTGATAAATGTTTGTTCAAAGTTGCATATTTTTTTCACCAAAAGGACAGCAAACTTTAAATGTCATTTTATAATGTAATTTTTCTCCCTTAATACTATACAGCAAACCTTTTCTCATGATAATATTTATAGATCTATCTATGACATCATTTTACAATAGTGAAAAATTGGAAACAACCTAAATGTCCATGGGTGGGAGAATCAGCTCAATTGTGATACATTCCTTATATCAATTTTTTAAATGAAATTATAAATCACATTTTTTAATCAAATTTAATTTTTATGCCTAATATTTGAAATTTATACATTCCTTTGATAAATTCACGTTTCTATGTTGTGAGGTCCTTGTTTTGCTGGGTGAGAGCCATTATCCCTTTACATATCTGTGACAACTGAGAAAGTCTTGTCATCATTTCCCGAATCCTTACTTTCAGGGAATTAAAGGTATTTCCCATGGGGGATCCCTGGCTCTGTAACTTTTGTGCTAAAAAGACGTAACAAAGTGAATGTGTTGAGCAAAATACAAATGGGTACCTTGTAAATTTTACATATGGTGCAGTATTATTTTCAATATACAATTAAAGCATATTGCTGTTATCTCATGTCCATCTGGTATAAGATGTAATTGTCATCAATAAAGAACATGAAGGGAAATACTTTAATTTTTTGTGATTTGAATGAAAGATAATGTTAACTTGAATTTGAATATTAGAGGTGCTGAGAAGACTACAGTGATTATCAGTCAAACCAGTGGTTCTCTGCCCTATTGCATGTTGGAATCACTGGAGAGTTTTAAGAATACTGACTCCTGGGTTTTATTTCCCAGAGATCATGAGATGGCATGAGATGCAGCTTGGGTGTTGGGAGTTGGGAGTTTGGAAAGTTCCCGAGGCAATTCTAATGTGCAGCAGAGTTGGGAACCACAGCTCTGCAGGGTGTGGTCAGTGGTATTTCTGTGCCACTCACGCCACCAAGTGGATGAAACGAGCAGACCAGTTAGCCTGTTCTAACCATAATAAGTTGTGGTCAGAACAGTTTAGTGAATCATCCATGAAATTCTCCCCTCTTATAATGATAATTTTAAAAGTATGTGTTTTTTAAGGGGTTTTGCAAGGGGAGGGAGTACAGAGTGGTGTTTATCCCCACACTGGACAAATATTAAGAGTGCATTCTTTAAGAGAAACATATGCATGAAGGATATGTTTGTTTTTCAATTGTATTTCTTTAAAATTCTTTTTGGCCAAATTTCAAAAATCAAAAAGTAAGCAGTGATGAATGGATTTAAAAAATGCCCAAGTAGGTTTTTCATTTCAAAAACCAGATTTAGAAGCCTATTGGTTGGGTCTGCAAATAGAGCATCTCAACTAATTATTTAATTTCACTATCTATCTCATTAACTTCCAAGGTACAGCAAGCAGAGGCTTATTCTTATCAAAAATAATTTTTGTCAATTTCATATTATAGCTGCCAAATTAAAAGTTCTTATTTAAAAAATATGACCGCCCTTCCGCAAAATTGGTCCAGAGTTTCATAGATCAATGCCTTTTATATTATGGTATAGAAATGATCCAATGATAAGAAGGAACATTTTAGAAAAAAATCATTTTAAAAACACTGAACATCGGAAATTAATTGTTTCAATTGGTGATAAATATTTAAAAAGGAATTCTCCAAAATTTCTTTAACTTCATATTTTTAAGAAGTTTAAAAATCTCTCTAGAAAACTGGAGAACAAGTGATATCAATATCCTTCATTCCCTAGAAGAAATTCCATTAGGTATAAAAATGCTTTGTTCTTCAGAAGACATGGCCCAATAACTTGGAACTTCCTAACTAGAGAGCCAGGACACACAGGAGTGCTACAAGTTCATAATCCAAAGCCTGTCAAGATATAGATCCCCTCAAAGTTTTGGATGGCTAAGTCAGAGCACCCTACACCAGGACTGCTCAGCCCCTTCCATTCATTATCTGTGTTGGTCACAACGTTGGGGGTGGGGAGGTTGGGAAGCTCTGTACTAACAAATGCTTTACATGATATTCAGATACTCCTGCAGGCAATAATCTTTTACCATCAAAGAAAAGGCTTTCTTCCCTTGGTTTCCCCCCCTCCCCATTCTTCTCTCTCTCCCCCTCCTCTTCCCCCGCCCCCCACCCCGCCGCCATGCTCAAATATAGAACAGGCTATGTCTAAGAAAGTGGAAACACAGCAAGGCAGCTTTCCAGGGTTCCTTTTTCAGCCTCTTTAGGTTTCAGAGACCCTCCTAAAAGCTTGTCCAGAGGCCTAGGCCATCACCTGAAATGAACAGAGGAAAGAGCTCTGGGTGGTGACTGAAGCCACTGAGAAGCCAGGAGGGGAAAGGATGTATTTCTGACATCATTGTGTATCATTGTTATCGTGGTGCGGGGGGGGGGGGGGGGGGGGGGGGGGATTGAGTCCTAATGGCTAGTTGAGCCTAAAAGATAAACAGTTCTTGGAAATGACTACAATTAAAGGTACTTTTATCTAAAGTACTGTAGGGAGGGAGAAGTGGGGGGAAGAGAGTGAATAGCTAGAAACTAGAGATGGACAGGAAGAGAGAAACCAGGCAGTCTAGGAAAGGGGAACCCCTTGGGGCTCCTCTGAAGAGACTTAGGTTCATAACCCAAAGGGAACCTATACCTTTCAGAAGTGACTCACGGGAAAAGTGTTCATCACAGTAAATGGGGAGCTAAAATGTTCCAATCAGACCCTGGACCCAACAAGCAGAAGATGTGCATATGGGGATAGTGTAACCAACAAGGCAGTACTGAGGAGCTGAGGAGAAACAATGGGACGGTGCATAAATGCTCTCCGTGAAAGAATACATGGATCCTACTACTATTGAGCTGACTTTATGGCCAGACCCATTTTTGAGGGTAGCATTGTGAAGACCCACCTGCTGCGAATTAGAATGGACAGATTGACTGACAGGTGCTTGGATGCCCACACTGGACATTCTGGTTGTCCTCACCCTTTCATTGTGTCTGTAGTGAAGAACATATTTGATAAATTATATTAAATGCTCAACAAGCCACCTCCACATAGCCTTGAGGCTCACCTAGCATTGCCCCCTTTCATTCCCTGTTCTGTATTCCTTCCAGGTCAGTTATGCCTCCTCCAGCAGACTCCTCAGCAATAAGAATCAGTTCAAGTCCTTTCTCCGTACCATCCCGAATGATGAGCACCAGGCCACTGCCATGGCGGACATTATTGAGTATTTCCGCTGGAACTGGGTGGGCACCATTGCAGCTGATGATGACTATGGCCGGCCAGGGATTGAGAAATTCCGAGAAGAAGCTGAGGAGAGGGACATCTGCATTGACTTCAGTGAACTCATCTCCCAGTACTCTGATGAGGAAGAGATCCAGCAGGTAGTAGAAGTCATCCAGAATTCCACAGCCAAAGTCATCGTTGTCTTCTCTAGTGGCCCAGATCTTGAACCCCTCATCAAGGAGATCGTTCGGCGCAATATCACAGGCAGGATCTGGCTGGCCAGCGAGGCCTGGGCCAGCTCTTCTCTGATCGCCATGCCGGAGTACTTCCACGTGGTCGGAGGCACTATTGGATTTGGTCTGAAGGCCGGGCAGATCCCAGGCTTCCGGGAATTCTTGCAGAAAGTCCATCCCAGGAAATCTGCCCACAATGGTTTTGCCAAGGAGTTCTGGGAAGAAACATTTAACTGCCACCTCCAAGAAGGTGCTAAAGGACCATTACCCATGGACACCTTCCTGAAAAGTCAAGAAGAAGGTGGTGGTAGGATAAGCAACAGCTCCACTATCTTCCGACCTTTCTGTACAGGGGATGAGAACATCAGCAGTGTTGAGACCCCTTACATGGATTATACACACTTACGGATATCCTACAACGTCTACTTAGCCGTCTACTCCATTGCTCATGCCCTGCAAGATATATACACGTGCTTACCTGGGAAAGGGCTCTTCACCAACGGTTCCTGTGCCGACATCAAGAAGGTTGAGGCTTGGCAGGTACATCCTTCCTTTATATAGCAGTTCTCTGTATGATAATGGAGAGTTCGGCCGATCTGGGCAAGACAGATGAAATGGTTACCACAAAGCAACAAGATCCTAATAAGGTCACTAAATGTAGCTTTGGATTCAAATTCCCTTTACAAATGCCTGAGTAACTGACTCTGAACAAATGATAGTAATTTAATTTGATTAACTGTTAATTGTTGGCTCAATTGTCCTTTGGCCTAGTGGTTCGGAATATCTACAGGATAGTCCCTAAAAGGTTTTTAATATTCTGGGACAGATTTAGTACTGAGGGGAGGATATTTTTCTAATGCTTTAATTTAAAGATACGGCTGTGAGTAACAAGTATTTTTTTTTTTTTTAGTATCTATTACATTCCATATGCTAACAGACATAAAACTAGTGTTACTGTGTATAGTCACCACTTTGCCATTATATTGCTCAAAATATAGTGTACTAAACCACCCAGTAGACCATTTAAGCTTAGGACACAAGCAAGTCAAGAGTACAGAGAAAGCTTGCCTTAAAAGGATTTGGTATTGGATATTTCAAAAAAGAAGCACCGAAATAGTTACAGTAGAAAATAATCAGAACTTAAGTGGAATTCCAATAGTCATTCTATGGTTTAGTTTAGTTTTGTATTTTTAAATTACATGTAGGAGAGACATCATAATCTTTTCATTTCATAGAACTTATGAAGATAAATCTGACCTGACTTACATCTTACATATCCATTCATGTCTTGCAAATGTATCTTGATTTGTATTTTTTGAAGTATAGTTGGTATACAATATTATATTAGTTTCAAGTATACAATATAGTGATTCAACATGTACATACCTTATAATGTGATCACCACACTAAGATTAGTAATAATCTGTCTCCGTGTCACCTTGTCACAATATTATTGACAATATTCCCCTTCACTTTTTTACCCATCCCCTCACTCCACCTCCCCTCTGACAACCATAATTTTGATCTGTTTCTATGAGTCCATTCCTGTTGTGTTGTCTTTGATTTGTTGGTTTTATGTGTTTTTTAGATTCCACATATAAGTGAAACTATACTAATTTGTCTTTTTCTTCCTGACTCGTTTCACTTTGCATAATGCCTCTAGGTCCATCCATGTTGTTACAAATGGCAAGATTCATTGTTTTGATTGCTGAGTAATATTCCATTATGTATAACTAGAGGCCCATTGCACTAAGAGATTTGTTCAATAGGCCTTCCTTTCCTTGGCTTCCAGCATTGGTTTTACTCCAGCACCTGAGACCCAAGTCTTCTCTCTGGCCAGACTCTGCTGCCTTTGCTGCAGACTCTGGCCAGAGTTTGCCTTCTTCATCTTCGCTGCAGACTGCCATCTTCACCTTTGCTGCAGACTCCAATTGGAGTCTGCAGTCTTCATCTTCACTACAACCAGAGTGCTGCTCCCATAGATCCCTTCACACCCCTCCCTCTCATAGCAGTCATCCTGCCCCACCAGTCACTCCTACCTGAAACAGCTGGGCAGCCGTCATCTTTGTCCTTCTGATTTGCATATTCCCTCCTGATTGGCTGGTGGGGTGTAGCGGAGTGATGGTCAATTTGCATGCTTCTCTTTTATTAGTGTAGATTATATAAGACATCTTTATTTGAAAAAAACAAAAACAGTAATTCAAAACAATATATGCATATCTATGCTCATTGTAGCATTATTTGCAATAGCCAAGATATAGAAGCCACCTAGATGTCCATTGATAGATAAATATACCTTGATTTTTAAATGGTGGTGGGATTTTTTTTGGGGGGGGGAGGGGTTGGGGTTTTTTTCATTTTTTTATTTACTTCAGAGATGAAGGAAGAGGGAAAGAGAGATAGAAACATCCATGATAAGAGAGAATCATGGGCCGAAACCGGTTTGGCTCAGTGGATAGAACGTCAGCCTGCAGACTGAAAGATCCCAGGTTCGATTCCAGTCAAGGGCATGTACAATGGTTGTGGGCACATCCCCGGTAGGGGGTGTGCAGAAGGCAGCTGGTCAGTGTTTCTAGTTCTTTATCCCTTTCCCTTCCTCTCTGTAAAAAATCAATAAAATATATTTTTTAAAAATAGAGAGAGAGAGAGAGACAGAGAGAGAGAGAGAGAGAGAGAGAGAGAGAGAGAGAGAGAGAGAGAAAGAGATTGATTCATGGTGGATTGGCTGCCTCCTGCAAGTCCCCTAATAGGGATAGATCCCACAACCTGGGCATGTGCCCTTGACCGGAATTGAACCTGGACCTTTCAGCTCGCAGGCCAACACTCTATCCACTGAGCCAAACCAACTAGGGCTAGATGGCAGTTATTATAGTAGGATTTCAATATGTCTCTAATTAATAAATTAGGGGGCAGGGGAACACTAAAGTAACTTTGTACACAGAACCAAGTCACCATAAACCCTTTGGAAAAGATACTGAGACACAAAGAATGTACAACCTGTATCTCTCATTTTAGAGGTTCTCATGGGGTAAGGAGTGACTGTTGAAGCTCGGCAGAATGAGTCAGAACACACAAGATTTTAGTTGTTCTTGTGTGGTAAATATCTAACCCAGATGTCATTGTTGGCTGAAGTTTCTAATATCTATGAATCCTTAAAGTTTCCTTCCTTGCACTGCACACGCCCCCGTCCCCAACCCTGTCAAAGAAAGAGGAGCTTTACTGAAGGTCAAAAACCAAAAATAATTCAGGAGCCATGACTCTAGCTTGTGGAGTTTTAAGAAGAAATAAATAGACAATATTTCCGTAAATACTAGTGTCTTCCCTTGCATGTCCTCTGGAAAGAGGAACCCAGCTCCTGAAAACCTACAGAGCCAGGGTGGGGTTGAAGGGAAAGACACTTCCAGTGTATACTTTGACATTCTGCTTTTCAGTGAATCCTCTCCCAGACAAGGATATAAGACCCAGATGGTCAAGATCAAAGCTTGAACATACAAGAAAATAGCCAAGAATCAAGCTATAGTCAAAATATGAACTTTTAGTGGCATGTTTAGAAAATACAAACCAATGGGCTTAAACAAAAGAAGAACATTATTAGTAGCTCATAATACTGAACATCTCAGAAGTACAACTAGATGCTTTCATCTCCATGTCTCTTTTCCTTAATCCTCAGGATTAACAACAGTTTCAGGTTCATAAAATCCTTGCTGCTAGGCTCTCCTTACTTCCTAGGATCTCCTGTTAAGGTGCCAAAATCCACATTGATTGACCAATCTAAGGCCACATACTCATCTCTGAGCTATAACTTCATAGACTGAGAGTAAGGCAGGGAATAGATCCCCCACATTAAATCAGGATGCTATTACGAAAAGAAGGTGGAAAGAAAAGCAAAACAGCCAAAATAAAATGTTCTCTACACAGACACCTCCGCTGACCCTAGTACTAGTAAAGATGTGCCTCCTGACTCACATACAGTCTGGTGCAATTTATCCAGGAGAGGAAACAGGAAAATAAGGCCGGAGCTCTAAAAAGGAATAACATATGGGCACCGGCCAAAATGTCCTGTGCTGTAAGTCTCCTTTGAACCTCAGGATTCCAGGCAGTTGAGTGGGTATTCAGGAATTTAAGATCTTGGGCATGTATCTAACAGAAGATGGACCAGCAATGATTCACACTCATTATTAAGACCTACATGGAAACCTGTCACTCATACTATCTATACAATCTAATCCAAGAACTTCAGCCAGGAATTGTACCTTCTCTCAATTGTCTTATAAGCCAACCATTCTGACGTCTTCCCACAAAACACTAATTACTTTCCACATAGAATTTTTGCTTAGATACTATCCCACACCCAAAGAGCCATCATTGTTGTCTATGATTGTCCACAGCAAACTTTTAACTCTTTTTCAAAATTTACTTTCTCTTGAAAGTCTTTTCAAGTCATAGTCCCCCACCCACTCACTCACATGCACACACACTTTCTGGTCATTCTTTCTTCCTCATTTTTGCCATTTATACACCCAGTTTAAACTTCCACAGCTCTTCAGTTGACTGAAATAGTCTTTTTTTTTTTGTTGACCCTTTCTGCACACACATCCCCAGCTAAAATGTACCAATCAACTAACTCATATGCCTGTTAGTAATACTAACGGGTAATTTATGAGCATACAACACACAATTACCTCCTGACCTCCACGGATATCCACCACCACCATCCTCCTCATGCTGCTCATCAGCTCTCTCCTCACTGTGATACCCCCATTATACTACTCTAAGCTTCTTGAGGGCGGGAACCACATTTGTATTGTTCAGCACTGTGTTCAGAACACCTGGCACCTGAATGAATGTGTGTAGAATAAAGGAATGAATGAGTAGCAGTCTAGTTGATTTGACCTAGAGCCCTTTGTAGAGAATTGTTCAACCCTGAATCAAGCACTGGCCAGGGTATTCTAAGGTGTTATTGGAAGAACCTGGGTCACATGTCCAATAATCAAGTTTGAATGGGACATCATGTAAGTAAGTATGGAACTGCCTTCTTCCTTCTGTCAGGATGACTGTGCACAAGACATGCTTCCTCCACCAAATACAAACCACTCAAAAAAACAGGCATGCATGATGACAGGACCATGGTAATAACAGAAGCCAAACAAAACTGATCTTTCCAGGAATTACTAGTACTGTTGGGGTTGGGAGAAGGGAAGTGAATTGAGGTGTGCATCAAAGGAGATGCAAAAGATGGAGTCAGAAAATAAGGATGAGGTTAGTCATTGGTCAAGGGTTTTCCCTACTCTCTTAGCACAGGAAGTGGCCAAGAAGCAATAGGATCCTTATCTATGTGAACTCTCCTTTAGTCCATGTGAATGGGGTTCTTTGTGCATCTTGTGCCACGGTCCCTCTGTGCTAGGAAGTGATGCCAAGAGTAGAGGGGGAGGGTAAATCATTGACTATTATGGGACATGGTGAAATTTTTAACTCGAAAAAATTCAACACTCATATGATTTTATCTATACCCCTGCTGTGAGGATGAAACACTATTCAGGTTAGGGTTTGAAGTAAACAAGAAAATAAAAGATGTCATTCAACTTGGACCTTGAAGGCTGGATAGGATTTATAGAAAGAATCTGTTCCTTGGAAAAATTGTAAACTGCAAAGGCAAACACACCCAACAATGAAGATGAATCACAAAAAACATTATGTTACATGGAAAATATTCATACCAAATACATACTGTGTGTTCCATTTATACAATATTCTGCCTCTAATGATAGAAAACAGATCCACAGTGGCTTAGGGCTGAAAGTGGGGGTGGGATTAATTTGGAAGGGACATCAGGGTGCCTTTGGGAGTGATGGTAGTGGCAGTTCACGGGCATATACATTTGCCAAACCTCGGAACTATACTCTTAAAATGGGTGTATTTTAATCTATGTAAATTTATTAAAAATACAAAACAATGGAAAGTCCCATGGGCGGGAAAGTACAGGCCTTTCATGGAGATCTGGATATCACTCAGTTTCTACCCTTTTCCTATTATAGGCTCTTGTGTTGCCACAGCATCATACATGTCTCCACCTCCCACTTCTAAAATATGTCCATTTTCTCAACCTTAATTTTTATATTAGTTAACCTATTATAACTAGGGATAGACAACTTAATAGATACTGCCTACTCTGACTCCTACACCTGTGTTGTGGTATATAGTAAAAGGGTTGAGAGTTTGGACTCTAGAATCAGACTAACTGGATTTAAATCCCAGTTGCTACCTAATAACTTTATGACTTTGGAAAGTCATTTAATGTATCTCAATTTCTTCACCTGAAAAATGGAGATATGAAACATAAATGTATTATGAGAATAACATTCATTGATATGTATAAGATATTTAGGATACTGCGTATATATAGTAAGTGTTCAGTAAATATTAGTCTTGAGTATTATTCTTTGATAGGTGAGGAAAGTAAGACTCAGAAAAGCTAAATTGACTTGCCCGAAGTCATATTTAGCCAATAATAAGAAAGGCAACTTCTGCCACAGGCATTCTTTCTCTGATGAGGCCAAGGTAACTGTTAAAAGATCCATGTGCCCAGTTGTCCCTCTGGTGTATTGCTGTCATCATACTTACATGGAACAGTTCTGGTGTATTGCTGTCATCATTCTTACATGGAACAGTTTTCTTTTGGACTTACTCTTCTCTTCAGGTAATGCTCAGCTGTTACTGAAACATTATTGCACTACTAGAGGCCTGGTGCACAAAATTTGTGCATTGTGGGGGGATGTCCCTCAGTTCGGACTGCACCCTCTTGCAGTCTGGAAGCCATCGAGGGTTGTCCAACTTTCAGCTTAGGCCTGCTGCACTCACCAGCCATATGCCCCAATTCTGGCTCTTTCATTGAGCGTCTGCCCCCTGGTGGTCAATGTGCATCATAGTGACTGGTTGGTCTGATGTTTTCTTGATTTGCATATTAGCCTTTTATTATATAGGACTAGAGGTCTAGTGCACAAAATTCATGCATAAGCGGTGGCGGGGTGGGGGGGGGGCCTCAGCTCTGCCTGCACCCTCTCCAATCTGGGACCCCTTGAGGGATGTCCAACTGTCCATTTAACATACAGTCAGATACCTCTCTCACAATCCAGGACTGCTGGCTCCCAACTGCTCTCCTGACTACCTGCCAGATTGTCCCTAACTGCTTCTGCCTGCCAACCTGGTCACTGTCCTCTCCTGCAGGCGTGGTCCCCCCCTCCCCCAACTACCTTCCACTGCAGGCCTGGTTGCTCCCAACTGCCCTCCCCTACCGGCTCAGTTGTCCCTAACTTCCCTCCCCTGCCAGCCCAGTTGCCCCCAACTGCCCTCCCCAGCATGCCTGGGTCTCCCCCCACCTCCAACTGTCCTCCCCTGAAAGCCTGGTAGCCCCCAACTGCCCTCCCCTGCCATCCTGATCACCCCTAACTGCTCTTCTCTGCCAACCCTGTCACCCCTAACTGCTCTTCTCTGCTGGCCCAGTCACCCCCAACTATCCTCTGCTGCTGGCGTGATCGCCCACAACTGCCCTCTCCTGCTGGCCATCTTGTGGCAGCCATCTTGTTTCCACATAGGGACAGCCATCTTGTGTGTTGGAGTGATGGTCAATTTGCATATTACCTCTTTATTATATAGGATTATACAGGATGGTGATTCCAACTCCCCTTTCTCTCAACAGAGTGATGGAGGTTTTATAATAAGTTTATTCCATGTTTTGAGTGTTTACTGAAAATTAAATGTGTGCTAATAATAAAAAATTACACATGTAGCCCTAACAGTTTGGCCCAGTGGATAGAGCGTTTGCCTATGAACTGAAGAAGGGTCCCAGGTTCAATTCTGGTCAAGGGCATGTTCTTTGTTTGCTGGTTTGATCCCCAATAGGGGACATGTAGAAGGCAGCTGATTGATGTTTCTCTCTCATTGATGTTTCTAATTCTCTATCCCTGTCCCTTTCTCTCTGTAAAAATCAATAAAATATATATTTTTAAAAAATTTGACATGTAAAATATGATATTTAGCTGTAGCTTTCCTAAAAGATCACAAAGGAAATATTTACCCCCCAAAAATCCAAGACTTCTCTTTTTCTCTTATAAAGAGAAAGTTAACATTTTATCCTGTGAAAACCACAATTCTTATGTCTGCCCTATACACTATTAAGTAAAATCTTTTAGCACATTTTAAAACAAATTCTACTAATATTTCACTGTTTGCCTGTTTGTTTCTTTGTCTTAATCTGGTAGGTTTTTGTTATTTTTAAATCAGAACACAAGAATATTGATTATAGTTATAGTTCAGAGGGAGAAATTGTACTGGCCCTTTATCCTAGTTTTCAGTAATTTGCTTTTCAATATACTAGTATAGGTTTAAGTTCAACCAATTACATAAAAGCTTTAAATTCTATGGTCGTCAATGGCAAATTTTTTTTAAAGTGAATCCTATGTTATTTCACTTTATCTGAAAGTTCTTTTGTTTGTTTGTTTGTTTTTGTTTTTGTTTGAGTGTAGAACTTAGATCTTTATGTTTTTGTCCTAAATCAGCCTGATCCAGTCTAGTTGTCCTGGTTAAGACTTCCAGTATAGCCACAGTGGGAACAGACATTTTTGTCTTGTTCATGAATTTAGGGGGAAAGCACTCTTTTTTTTTTTTTTTTTTTTAATAAAGTTTGATTGATTTCAAAGAGGAAGGGAGAAGGAGAAAGCTGAAAAATGGAGATATGAACCATAAATTTATTATGAGAATGATGAGAGAGAATCATTGATTGGCTGCCTCCTGCACACCCCCTATTGGGAATTCGGCCCACAACCTGAACATGTGCCCTTGATCAAAATCAAACCCAGGACCCTTCAGTCTGCAGGCTAAGGCTCTATCCACAGGCTGATGCTTTATCCACTGACCAGGTAGGGCAGCAGTCAGTCTTTTACAATTAAGTATGATGTTACTAATGTAGGGTTTTTTTTTATAGATGTCCTTTATAGCATTAAGGAAGTTCCCTTTTATTCTTAGATTGCTGAGAGTTTTTATCTGAAATGGAGGTTGGAGGTTATAAACATGTTTTCTGTAACAATGGAGATGATCATATGATTTCTCTTTTGTAGCATGTTAATGTAGTCAAATGACAAACTCTACTTGGTCACAGTGTATTTTCCTTTTGGTAGATAGCTAGATTTAATTTGAAATACAGTGAAAGTTAGCACCCCTACACTCAGAGGCTGGATCATGCCTTACTCTTTCTTGGTGCCTCAGTGATCCCTAGCACTGGGTAGATCCCACATGAAAGACAAGCTGCTGAGTGCCCATTGCCTCCTCTTGACCCATGTCAGGGGCACTCAGGAAGCAGAGCCAGGAGCCTAACAATACTTCTGTAGGGCATATCCATGAAGAGCACAGGCTTTGCACCCCTTGATAGCTATATGGCCTTGAAAAGATACTTTTGTTTCTGTGCCTCGGTTTCCCCAAAAATAAAATGGGGTTAATAGTACTATTAGTTATGAAGATTAGATTAGGAAATAAATATAAATTATTTAGCATTGTTCCCCAAAAGAAATAAAATGACCAGAAAGGTTTAGTAATTGTTATCATTACTTCTTTTGTACAAGGGCTTTGTGACCCATAAGACCTTGTAAAAATAAGAGATAGGCCATAACTATTACAATAGGACTCCACCCACAGCCTCGTTTATTTCTTCCTCTCACTTCCCTCTGTCTTCCCTTTGGTAGCAAGACTTCCACAAAAGCAGTAGCATAGAGAAAGTGGTGCAGATCACAAGGGCACTTAGCGCCTCACTCCTTCCCCAAAGCCCATCTCAGAAAACACCAAGAATGGCTCTGGCTTACAAACCAGTCCCTCCTGGGGCACCACCAGATGATAAGGCACCTGTAGAAGTCTTGTCTTGGCCTTTGGTGAGATATATCTCCTTTCCTTCCCTAATTTCGAGAAAGTCTTTCCTACCCCAGGTACAATTTAAGCACCATGTAAAGCCCCTAGCTTACCAGGGCTGCTGCTAACACATGAAGTACCCCCGTATAAATGAGAAAAAGAGGCCGCTTCCTCAAGTCATGTTCCTTCCACTTTGTTAGATAAGATAGTTTACTGTCCTCTCACCATGCAAAAACCTACATAAAACCATTTGTGGCAGCCCTGTGGCTCATACTCAGAATATTCATCTCTGTTCCTCTTTAGGTCCTGAAGCACTTACGTCACCTAAACTTTACCAACAATATGGGGGAACAAGTGACTTTTGATGAATGTGGTGACTTGGTGGGGAACTACTCCATCATCAACTGGCACCTCTCTCCAGAGGACGGTTCCATTGTGTTTAAGGAAGTTGGATATTACAACGTCTATGCCAAGAAAGGAGAAAGGCTCTTCATCAATGAGAAGAAAATCCTGTGGAGTGGGTTCTCCAGAGAGGTATGTGCTGTCCGTCTGAACACCACATGCCTCCACCCTGGCAGGAAATGTGCTGGGCTTTGGAGGGCCTTGGACCGTTCACCACTGGACTTCCAGAATGAGTCCACTTCCCTCCGCTCACTCACACTGCATCACCAGGGCACCCCATGAAATCCATGAGTGTTTAGTGTACAACAGAGAATCCTTGGAACCCGAGCCCTATGCTTATCATTTTAAAACAATTTTATTCTTTACAAATATGACTCCCTGGCTAGTAATGGTTTCCTTAACTAAAGCTTTCTCCAACCCGAGCAAAATATTTAAGCAAACATAAATATCACTCAAGGCAAAGCCTGAATAATTAATTCACAAAGAGATAGTTCCCTATGATTCAAACATCTCAGGGCTGCTGACCTATCAACCAAAATGAACATTTATTTTTCTCCTTGGGAGATGTGTAACCCATAGGAGGATGTTTGTGACCATGATCAGGGTCCTCTTCCCTTGAGTATCACCGCATCCAGATGCCTGGTTAATAACCAGAAGCCCAGTGAATATGCTCTCCAGGAAAAGACACGTGATATGCTAAAATGATGAACAGTCTGTGGGGGTAGTGTCCCAGAATATAATAGGCTACTGAGGACCCAGGTCCTCTGTAGATACAAATCCCAAGATGCCTGGATATAACCCACTACAGTACTCTGTGTGTTTGCCTTTCTAATATCACTTTCAAGTATCGTGAACTACTTTATAAAATGTGACCAAAGATTCAATCTCATCTGTTACCAAATGCTCCTTAGGTTGGTTGGTGGGTATCTGATCAGATGCTATAATTTTATTGGTTCCCAATATGTAGGATAGTTATCCATGCAAAGGTCTATTATAGATAGTGAAGCTTATCCACAGAGTGCGAGTTATTGCTAGCCTCTACCTCAGAGAATGGATTCTCAATTTTAAACATGTCACAGCCCTTTCCAGACAGAGATTTGGGGCTTCCAGAGATTATACAATTCTCTCCACTAATTATACCCTTGTCTAAAGTTTCATCTGACTGTAATCTAAACTGATCGGCTATACTATCACTAATTCCCTGCTGTTAAATCACCCAGGTTACCTTTTACCTCCATTAATGTACATAATTGATTGTCTCTGATAGGTGTATGTCTCATCTCCCTTCCTGCAATGAAGCTATTCCTGAATAGTTCTCTATAACCTGTAACAGCCTGTGCAGACTGTGGGTTTAAACATTGGAAAATGAATAACAATGAATCTTCATGAACTCAGTCACTTCTGTTCCTGAGGTAGTTGACAGAGTTATAAATTAAATCTAATTTTTCCACAGAAATGTTACTTCAAACTTAGTACACATAGGTACTCAACAAATATTAGGGTCTAATCCACTTTTTTCTACATTTTTATAGAAATGACCACAAAAATGTCCTCTATCTTGACCTATAAATAATGTATTGATAGTTTCTCAACATAGCTCACAAAGTTGTTAATGAAATCAAGGATATAAAATTAATAATGCAAACTGTTATTAATATATCATTTATGTATTTAAAAGTTCTTAATATATCATTTATGTATTTAAATGACTGGTCACTATGATGCATACTGACCACCAGGGGCAGTCACTCAGCACAGGAGCTGCCCCTGGTGGTCAGTGCGCTCCCACAGGGGGAGTGCTGCTCAGCCAGAAGCCAGGCTCATGGCTGGCTAGTGCAGTGATGGTGGTGGGAGCCTCTTCTGCCTCCACAACAGCAAGCCAAATGGTAAGGAGCAAGCAGTTAGGAGCAAGCAAATGGGAAATTAGGAGTAAGGGGTCCCAGATTGCAAGAGGGTGCAGGCCAGGCTGAGAGCCACCCTGGCTATGTGCACAAATTTTGTGCATCTGGCCTCTAGTTGTAATATATTAATCAATATATTGATTCAATAGCTCGATTTACTTTCTAATGAAGTACTTTAGAGTCAAAGGGTCCTTTTTTTTTTTTTTTTTTTTTTTTTTGCTAGAGGGGCTTTAAATATCTTTATATCCAAAACCCCAATGTGAAGATGATGACACTGAGGTTTAGATGGGAAAGAGTGATTTCAAGATAAGATAAAAGGTCAGTATAAGAGTTGAGACTAGGATCCAAGTGCTCTGACTCAGACCCTAGTGCTCCATCCTACACTATACTCCCCATAATTATTTCCTTATTTTATTACAACAAATAAGGAAAAGAGGTATCTTCTTTGGGGTCTTGGAATTCAAATGGTCTTGCTTGGCCAGAATTGGATAGGTATCTTTGATGAAGCTATTCAGAAGAATTAAAGATACTTGCTGGCTTTTTGCAAAATGGATTTTTCTTGATGGCTATCCAGCCCACTCCTTTGGTGGTGGAATTTCTCTTTAGCTGAGGGATGCAGAAGGAAGCAGTAAGGGGGCACAGAGGATGGCATTATTATAATTCTTCACTAGTAAGCAGGGTTTTCATACAGTGAAAAGTACAGACTTTGGAATACTTACCTGGGTGTGAATCCATGCTCTTCAATAAGTCACTGTATGACCTTAAGTTTGTTATTTAACCATTATGGAGAAAAACTTGGCATGACAGAGACTGCTAGAGGCCCCAATGTTTGTTCTCCTTTTTACTTTTAATAATAGAACTCAATTTTAATCGGGCACATGACCATCCAGAATTTTAAAATTTCCCAGTCTCAACTAAGTATGGCCACATGACTAAATCCTGCAGAATGGGATGCAAGTGGCAGTGTTATGTGATGGAATCTGAGAACCTTCGTTTAAGAAAGTGCTTGCAAGAATCCTTTGTTCTCTTCATCTTTTCCTTGATCCTGCTTCCTAGAAACCAGATGCCCAGCAGGTAGCAGCTAGACGGGGTGTACACTGGGATTTTTGCTGAGTAGCCTCAGACCTTGTACTGGCATGGAGATTGAACCTATATAAATCTGGTGAACCCCATTCACCCTACCTGGTGACTCACTGATAACTTGCCTTATGCAACTCAAGTACCACCAGAAACTCTTTCAGTAACTGAGCCTAATAGGAAGCCAGCAGGTGTAAGGGGCAGAAATGGACCTAGGGGTCCCTTAGGCCTTTTTGCTGACATGTCCCCAGCGTTGGTGCTGGTGGAATTCTGCCTTGGTGGACACCGTGGTCCTTCTACCACACATTCAGAAGCAGAGGCAGCCACAAAGTGAGAGGTAGCTCAAGACCAGTCATAGGCAGTGTCTGATATTGATCTGCACCAGAGTTCCTCCTAAGAGACCCCAGAACCAACACACTCAGTGGCCAACTTCAGACAATATCAAGGCAGGATTCAATTAGTTTCACAAGTAGCATATCCAAAGGGAGATCTCAGCAGGCACCAGAACCTGCTGAAGCAAATTTTGCTTACTGTGGTCAGTACCTGCACAGCAACTTATACACTGTGTTCAAGGTTGAACCTCATCCTTGAGGGCTGAACCCACCCACAAATGGGCCAATAAAGATTCAATTACAACAGGGGGACTGATATAACCCACATAAGAAATATTCCTGCCAAAACCAATTTGGCTCAGTGGTAGAGCGTAGATCTGCGGACTGAAAGGTCCCGGAGTCGATTCCGGTCAGGGGCATGTACGTTGGTTGCGGGCACATCCCCAGTAGGGGGTGTGCAAGAGGCAGCTGGTCGATGTTTCTCTCTCATCAACATTTCTAGCTCTCTAGCTCTCTCCCTTCCTCTCTGTAAAAATTCAATAAAATATATTTTTTTTAAAAAGAAAGAAAGAAAGAAATATTCCTACAGCACCCAACTCAGGTTATCAAAAAGACTGCACCACTGGAACCCACAAGACACCTTTTATATAAGGACACCCTACCAATACTGGAAGACATAGCATATCTACTTAATACATAGAAACAAATATAGAAAGGCAGTCAAAGTGGGAAGACAAAGAAACATGCCCCAAATGAAAGAAGAGGAGAAATATCCAGGGGGAAAAAAAGAGGGCTAAATGAAATGGAGGCCAGCAATTTACCAAATACACAGTTTAAAAACATGGTTATAAGGATGCTCAAGAAACTGAATAAGAACTTATTGAGAACTACAACAGCATGAAAACAGCCATAGAAACCATTAAAAAAAAAACAGTCAGAAATGAAGAATATAGTATCTGAAGTGAAGAAATCACTATAAGAAATAAATAGTAGGTTGGATGAAACAGAGGATCAAATTAGCAATTTGGAAGACAAGGTAGCAGAATTTGAGCAGCAAAAAGAAAATAGAATCCAAACATATGAGGATAGTTCAAGGGATCTTTGAGACAATATGAAATATAACAATATCTGCATCATACGTGTACCAAAAAAAAAAGAAAAAAAAAAAAAAACAGATCAAGAACCTACTTGAAGAAATAATGGCTGAAAATTCCCTAATCTGATGAAGGGAAAAGACACACAAGTCCAGAAAGTGCAGAGAGACCCAAACAAAATGAATAATCTGAAAAGGCTCATACCAAGACACATCATAATTAAAATGGCAAAGTTTAAAGACAAAGAGAGTGCTAAAATCAGTTTGGCTCAGTGGATAGAGCGTTGGCCTGCAGACTGAAAGACCCCAGGTTTGGTTCTGGTCAAGGGCATGTACCTTGGTTGCGGGCACATCCTCAATAGGGGTGTGCAAGAGACAGCTGATTAATGATTCTCTCTCATTGATGTTTCTAACTCTCTATGCCTCTCTCTTCCTCTCTGTGAAAAATCAATAAAAATATATGTTTTTTAAAAATAAAGACAAAGAATCTTAAAAGCAGCAAGAAAAAAAATGAATTACCTACAAAGGAAATTCCATAGGACTTTCAGCTGATTTCTCAACAGAAACATTTCAAGCGTGAAGAAATTAGTATAAAATATTCAAAGTGAAAAAGCAAAGACCTAGAGCCAAGACTACTATACCTAGCAAGGTTATCATTTAAAAAAATTGAAAGAGAAATTAAGAGCTTTCCAGACAAGAAAAAGCTCAAGAAGTTCATTACCACCAAAA